AGATTTCATTTAGCCTCTTGCAAACCATGAAGTAAGACGATCAGTAATGGTGAGTTTGTTGAACTATCTAGTTGTTCGCCCTATACGGCTTTCTCCATAGGAGCAGGTAAAGTTACAAATACACACAGAAACAAAACAGCTGAGAATTCTGTCTTCCCCTTGAGTAATCATAATTAGTCGGCAGCTGGAAAATGACAAACAAAGGGTGGCGGTAGTGTGATTACATCTTAAGGCTCTAGATCATCTCAGGGCAGAGGACTTCACTAGCCACGTCCTCACCACATTGCAGTCTCAGGAACAATCGTTTCTGTTTAACCGTTGTCGGTTATTCATGAGTCCCCTAACAAATTTACCAGGATAACTCATTTGGACCAGTGTATTTTGCATGTACTCCAATTTATTTTCCAGGGAGTCATGTGTGCAGATCCTTCTGGCCTTGATCGTGAGGCATCTCTGATCAAATTGATTTTATATCGGATTGCTACAAAACTGAAGAAATGTCCATATTGTCCCACAGATGTGGGTTTTATGTATAGACATCTCTCTTGAGTGAATCATCCTCTCTATTCTGCTCAACTGGACATCGAGGAAGTCTAATCTACCATCATGTCCCTGTTTACAAATGAACATGGCTGATGGGTGTGCCTCATTTCTCTTTTGTCGGCTTACTCATCAAGAATAATAAACGTATCATCAACATACTGAAAATAAGAATCCATTGGTTCAATGGACCATTTCGAAGCTTAACAGGTACAGAATATGCCACAATTTGACTCATTGGAAAGCCCATGACAATACCGTCGGTTTGTCTGTAATAAAGGTTGTTGAATGTGAAGTGTACATTCATAGTGCATAAAAGAAGTAGCTCTGTGAGACTAATAATTTGGATTCAGATATCGAACTGTATTTGTTGGGATATGGATTCCATAGTGTGGTACATTGGTGGACGATGAAGTGGTACATCTAAGGATACCATTTGGTTCTCACTAACATAGACATCATATTCTTTGGAAATGAATTCAAAGAAGTTTTCACCATTATGATTACCGATTTCTTGTGAAATGGTTGGAGGAGTTCACCTAGCCACTTTGTCACTCGATGTTAGGTGGAATTAGACATGTCTAGGACTAGAAAATCCTCATTTATGTACATTGGGTAAACCATACAATCATGAAGTGTTACTTCTAGTAGGTTTAAACGAGAGCTGTGTACATTAGAGTAAAGCTTGAACATCTAACTGAAAGCCATACTGTCCGCCTGCCTATATGTCTTGTCCTAATTATAAACAGAGAGTTGAATATCGCTTATGTGGATGAAAGCTGAGCTGATGTTGCAGTGAAGCTGATATACAGCTAAAATTAGTAGTAGTCCAAGGATTGCTATTTCAAATCTTTCCACAACCTCGATTTTTACTCCATTGTTGATCATCGTGCTAGCTGGCACTCACCAGTCAGTTAGTTAGCAAGGCGTGTATCTGCAACCATAATGAAGGAACAACTCATATTCCTTCTCGCTGCGTCCTCCTTTATGGCTAGCTGTGAGAACTGGTCATTGAGAGTGGGAGACATGAAAAGGACGACTAGCTAGCTATCTTTGATCATAGTTGCCTGTGTCCTATCTCCCGTATGAAGTGGTATAATAGGGTGAACAATATTAAGGTTAGGCATAAGTCGAGTGCTAGGTGAGGAAGGGTGAGGGGAAATCAATAGACGAGGTGGCTGTGAAGTTATATCGACTGAGATGGTTAGGACATGTATTACACATGCATGCATGACTAGCCATCGCCTTCTTCAACAATGGGCTATGTTAGCTAACTGACATAGAATGGATCAGGTTGGAAAAGACCTAGCCAGTGGTGGGTGGTGGCCAAACCAAAATCAATATAACTTCATCAGTCAATGAAATCCACAACAACTAGTTTAAGCCACGTAGGAAGGTGCAGACTTTCTGGTTGGGGACCTCACAGAAAGGTAAAAACCAATGAAGGCTGGAGACAATTGGTGATATAACCGGCTCATTTTGTCTCATATCTCTGTTTACTGTCTCTATTTTGCATTTCTTCTCTAGCTTTGTGTGCTATGTGAAGTGTGGTGACTCGAACTGCTGCACATCAGTGCAAAGTTCTACGTCGTGTCCCATCTGAGATTTGAAGCCGCGTCATCACCCCGAGTGAGTACTGCAGTGAGTCGTCAGAGACGTTACCACTACTGAACATAGTATTTTACCGAAGTAATTAACAAGGTAACCAGTCTTCTACACAGAAAGTACTATAACTCTTTAATAAGAAAAAAAAATATAAATATATTTATGTACTGAACTTTTTGTCATAACACATATAGCAAGCCATAGAAAAAAAAGTTAAGAAAACTGTGTCGGTTACAAATAGCAAATAGAAGTTGTTCAAAATAGAGAGCTACATAAGTCAAAATATGTTCTCATCAAAGGTGCTGAGGTGGATATAACAAAGCCCAAAGAATACACAGCCAGGTTGAAAAGCGATTTGTCCTCGGCATCTATATGTGTGTGTGAGAGAGAGAGAGAGAGATAGTAACAATCATCGTAATCAGTTATTAGCTGATGGAAACTAGACGAGGAAAAAAAACATCATTAAACATAACCGATTTCCAGCATTCACCGATATATATTCATCATCCAAAAACATTACCTCCTAGGAAAAGCTAAACCTCCTAAGCCCAGATGACATCATCATCATATAAACAAAGAATAATAATTAGCCAACACCACCTACTGTGGTGGCGTGTGATACTGTCTGTCTCTGTCTGGTATCAACATAGAACTCGGCACCGAAGTCCACCAGTTCGAGTTCCCACGTTCCAAATACCACACAAAGGTAGACAAGAAGATGACTGAAGAGAATCAATAGAGTTTGACAGGTATACGAGCGAAACAGAATGGGTAATTGTAGAAAGGAATATGAAAGATTACAGAGACTGAATACATCTGCGCTGGCCATTGACAACGATTTTGAGACATGTCACCTGTTGTCGCCAGCCATTGATTCCTAGAGTCAGTCCCGAGGGCCCCAACCCGGAAGTCTGCATCTCACTACCTGACCAACTCAGTTTAACTATCAAGGATTTCATGGATTGATGAGGCCATGTTTTTGTTTGGCCACCATTTACTCTTTTCCAACCTGCACCTATATCATCAGCTAGTAATGCCCGTCATCGGGGGAGGCGATGGTTAGGCATACGCACCACCTGACCTAGACATCTCAATCTATGTAACTTCATAGCCTCGTCGATTGATTTTCCCTCTTTGCCCAACACTCTAGGCCTAACGTCAACATTACTTACCTTATTATACCACCTAACGTCAGAAAGAGATCGCAGACATCTATGATCGAAAGCAGTCAACCTTTTCATGTCTTCAACGCGTATTGGCCATGCTTCAGAGCCATAGAGAAGGACGGAGTGAACTGCTGAGCAGTACACACACATCCATGGGTAGAATGATATAGATCACAGAAATTGAAATACTTTCATGGGGTCTGTTTGATATATTATGAGTGTGATAAAAAAAATACAAAATTAGTTTTTTTAATTGTATTAGTATCACTCTATTAAGTAAGATGTAAATTGTTTACATCACTGTCATCATTTAAGGCAATACACATACACACACACACACCTAAAGTCGTTTATTTTTAGCGGCCTTAGCAACAAAAATTTGAAATGAGAGGAGTAAAATAAATAAGAAACCAACAGAAAAGCAGTAATATAGAAAAATACTACAGAACAGCCAGAACGAACTGCAGGTGAACCACCATAGAGAAGACCGAGGTGATGAAGATAACCAAAGAACAGTAACAACAACCAGCACCAATCACCATCACCGGGAGACACACCCCTGACAGAGGCAGCAACCAGCATCGTTTCAACTACAGGCAGTTGGACAACACGGATGAAGATGTCAAAGCCAATCAGTCAGTCAGTCAGAATCGGAAAGGCTTAATGAACCGGCTTGAAATCTTCTGCAATAACTCAACAGCATAAACAACAAGATCCGGATCTTCAACACCAATGTCTACACCCATGCCGTCTATAGAGGTCAGAATAGTCTTCTGGACCTAGAATATGCAGATGACATAGTCCTGTTAGGGGAGGATGCTGACAAAATCCAGCAGAGTCTTCTGAACACCTTGAGCAGCAATCTTCGTATGTTTGGCATGTGATTCGCCCCTGTAAAATGTAAGATGCTGCTACAGGACTGGACCCCGTCAATCCCTAACTTAGTGATAGGGAGGGAAGTGATAGAACATGTTGACCACTTCACCTACTTAGGAAGTTGTATTAGCACCAACGGACTGATTGGCGATGAAATCTCAGCACGGATCCAAAGAACTCGAGCTGCTTTCGCTGACTTACACAATCTCTGGCGTAGGCGTGACATCCGGTTATCAACCAAGGGACGTGTGTACTGCTCAGCAGTTCGCTCCGTCCTTCTCTATGGCTCTGAAACATGGCCAATACGCGTTGAAGACATGAAAAGGTTGACTGCTTTCGATCATAGATGTCTACGATCTCTTTCTCACGTTAGGTGGTATAATAAGGTAAGTAATGTTGACGTTAGGCGTAGAGTGTTGGGCTAACAGGGAAAATCAATCGACGAGGCTATAAAGTTACATAGACTAAGATGGCTAGGTCACGTGGTGCGCATGCCTAACCACCGCCTCCCCCGACGGGCATTGTTAGCTGATATAGGTTCAGGTTGGAAAAGAGCCAGTGGTGGCCAAACAAAAACATGGCCTCATCAATCCATGAAATCCTTGACAGTTAAACTGAATCAGGCAGGGAGATGGAGACTTCCGGGTTGGGGCCCTCGGGACTCTAGGAATCAATGGCTAGAGACAATAGGTGACATGGCTCAAAATCGTTGTCAATGGCGCACATGTATTCAGTCTCTGTAATCTTTCATATTCCTTTCTACAATTACCCATTCTGTTTCACTCTTATATTTGTCAAACTCTATTGATTCTCTTCACTCATCTTCTTGTCTACCTTGTGTGCCAATTGGAACGTGGCAACTCGAACTGGTGCACTTCGGTGCCGAGTTCTATGCTGAATCCAGACAGACAGACAGACAGAGGTCAGAAACTTGAAGAGTGCGTCGCGAAAAGGATTTCCAACAGCTGGTTGCACACCTTTGTCAACAACTGCCTCTGCTAGTTCCATACTGAAGATCAAATGGCTAGAAAGAATTAGTAAGAAACTCTGCAGTGGAACAAAACCAACAGGCGCGAGAGCCGATGGCTCAACAAATTATGTAGGCGAAAATGGAAATGAGTAGGGTGAACATTGAGAAGATCGTCGAGTGATATCGTGCGCAATGCAGGCCATCCATCACTCGAGTGGAAGAAGAACCAATGGGAAGCGACGAATGGTTCGTTGGTGTGAGGGTGACATGGAAGAGATGAGAGATTATGAGGAATTGTGGGGTAAGCCAGCTGAAGAGGATGGCAGGAAATGAAAGAAGGTGGAGAAGTGTTGTTGAAGCCAGCCACATGTTCCACTGGGAATATAAGGGAATGGTGTATATTTTTGTCTGAAATCATCCTCACCTTACTTTAAATCTAAATCTAATTGATTGTATTCCGAATAACATTACTTTTCCAGAGATAAAATGATTTGCAAGGCATAACACCTTTTACTAGCCAACTGAAGAGATGTAGCCTCAAAACGTCGACATACATATTGACTCACACACACTCTATATGCATAAAACTCAACTTACCATCTTGCTTTCTTTGCCTAAGACAGGAAATAGAACAAAGGCCGGGGGGGCGTGGGGAAGGATGATCAAACTGACAGCACAGTACAAGTGTCAGATGTTACAAGTTGGCAAGTGATGAACACGTCTTCTGTATGTTTTCAGAGACAACAGCAATAGACACCTCAGTGGGAGACAACGTGAGCCAGCCCTGAAAGCACAATGTTATATTCGATAGAAGTCAACTGCAATCTACACATACTCAGATATTCTTTCAGTGTGTTGTTAAGACGTCTCACTTTTTGTCACTAACTTTGCCTAGAAGGACAATAATATCGTATGTAAACTCTAAACCAATGACACCTAGTTGCTAGTAGCACGTCAATGCCCAAAATATCGATTTGATCAGATAACTATTAAAAAACGATCAGTCACTAGGGCAACAAATATTAATGCCGAAAAACTGGGGAATATATGGATTAAAAGGTATTAAGTGTGCTCAGTTCAGTATCTATCTACGCGTAGATAACTTACATGTTGCAACCATATAACTAATTATGGAGGATAAGGCTGATTGTGCGGATTACCCGGTTGAGTAAACGCATTCGCTCCGGGCATACTTCCGGGTTGAGAATAGGCTGGAGGTTGTTGGGATGACATTCCAGGAGCAGGATAGACTCCAGGTTGCTGTTGGGGAAACATACCAGGCTGAGGATATGCTGCAGGTTGTTGACATGACATTCCAGGGGCAGGATAGACTCCAGGTTGCTGTTGGGGAAACATACCAGGCTGAGGATATGCTGCAGGTTGTTGACATGACATTCCAGGGGCAGGATATACTCCAGGTTGCTGTTGGGGATACATTCCAGGCTGATTTGGGTATTGATGTTTCATTGAATGGTTGTAGCCGCCTGGTTTAACCCCTGTACCCCAGCCATGCATATTATTATATCCATGACCTTTCCCATGCTTGTCAAATAAACAATGCAAGGATAAACTTTGACATTAATAAAATCACACAGGAGATATAATAAACCAATCAAATACACAGTGGAAAAAAACACAAACTATGACAATCTCAAAACAGTATTAAATTTTAGAATAACACTTAAACTGAACAGAAGAGCAAAGGCTGATTTTGCTGGTCGAATAAATTTTAGTTTAGGGTAAACCGAAAACTGAGCAGACAATTCAGAAAATCCTACAGCGCATCAATCGCTCTGCCTTATCTAGTTAGAAATCGAATACTCGGTACCAACTATTCTTTTATGTCGATTATTGTGAGGGCTGAGATACTGCCCAGGCGCCCAAACCAAAGCAGGTGGTTGTCTTAAGGGACCACCTCCAACCCGAGCCTTTGACCTGGAATCTAATCCCCAAGGCAGCGGAGCAGTATCAAGAGCCACGTTCTCATGGTTGCCGATGATCCATACAGATTCATATGCCATTTGATCCGATTGAATTCTGGAGCCAATGTGACCTAGTATAGTAACTGCTTTTAGGCTAACCGCTATCCAAACAACCTTCCTGACATGGCGAGACCTGCAAGAATATATATATATATATATACGAAAGCATTTCTCAACGTCAGAGATCAATCTATTCATACAACAACAATCCAATGTAGAGACTACTGCGACAGAAATAGTCAGGTCATCGACATATTCAATGGTCTCTTCCACTGTGCACTTCATTAAAGTATGAAAAATACCCATTTGTGATATGAGTAATAAAAATGCATCAGCTAGGAATAATCCGTCCTTCACTGCGATGAAACAATGCAGAGAATAATTCATCATACTACCAAAAAATATGACGGATAAGTTAACTAAATTTTCACAACCTTGTTCCTTCCTATAAAGAAAAGGAAAAGAAACGTCATTAAATCTATTCTCATAAAAACTTTTCGCATATACACCAAAAATGCACTGAGCAGAGAGAGAGAGACGGAGAGAAATGGAGTCCTTTGGAAACATTGATTGTAGAATACTGACACAGTGGAATTCATCAATAAACATATGAAGTGTGAGATACACCTCAGAAGTACTGGATAAAGTTACCTGCAGACCTGAAATACAAAGGTATAACAACAGATGACATTCTCCAAAACAGATTTACATTTTACCACATCTCATCGTGTCTAGGCAACTTCTTAGCAAGATGTCAAAGACAATGTTCCACTATTGACAGACTATATATATATAATCACTCTTATTCACGACAATTGTACCAGATCCTTTATCAAGTCTAGCTATTATCAGATTTTCGATTTTCTTGAGGTCACGTAATTATTGTCGGTGTTTCTTTGCAAGTAGACTGTTTTAACAGGATGTTTATTGTTCTTAAACTGGTTGCAGGAATCGATTAGGGTACTTTTAAGTCTTTCTAGCTCATATTTGGACGAAGGAATTAAGTCATTTGTCTCGGCAAATATGTTTTCAAACTGTACATCAGTCTCTAAATGACTAGACTGATTATTACTTCTGTTACAGAATTTTCAACTGAGTGATAAAGCTACAAGTTGTGTCTTATCTAAGCATACAGAGGAAAAATTCTGACTCCAGGTGAAGACAGAGAAAACGGAAGTGATGAAGATTCCTGGCCAACATCAACAGCAACAACAGACGACAATCAGCCTGCATAAATGGGAGGAACCTGAAAGAAACAACCTCCTCCACCTCCTCACCTAACTGGGAAGTATCGTTTCAACTACAGGCCGACGGAACTGACGAAGACATCAGAGCAAGGATTGGGGAAGCAAGACAAGCTTTCATTACTATCAAGTCTGTGTGGAGGTCAACAGCACTAATCAGCATCAAAAATAAGATCCGGATGTGAAATCAGTGCTACTATACAGATCAGACACTTGGCCAGCGCGTCATAAAGAGCACCTCAAACAAACTAGAGACCTTCATCAACAGCTGTCTTTGCTCAATACACAAGATCATATGGCCGGCTAGAAAAGATCACCAACAGAGAGGGATCTCTGGCAATGAGTGAACCAACCCAGCGGTAACCGATTGTGCAACAAATAGGCAGGAAGAAATGGAGATGGAAACCACCAAGTGACATCACTAGACAAGCCATTACTCGAGTGGAACCCGAAATGGAAGCGGCGAGTTGGTCGTCAGTGTGAGGGTGACACGGGTGAGGAGGTGATGTGAAGAGGGGATGAAAGCAAGTGGACAGACTTGGAGGCAGGTGAAAACTTTGGCAGAAAACCGAAGGCAATGGCGACGTGCGGCTGAAGCCCTATGTTCCTCTAGGAATTAAAGGAAATAATAATAATAATAAATTTCCGATGTGTAAGTAACTTTGTTCAGTACTTCTGAGGATTATCTCACACTTTATATATTCATCGATGAATTCCACTCTGTCAGTATTCTAAAATCATGTTTCCAAAGGACTCCATTTCTCTCTGCCTCTGCCTCCCTCTGTTCAGTTCCTTTTTTCCGTGTTTATGCGAGAAGTTTTTGTGAGAATAGATTTGATGAGGTTTCTTTTCCTACTTATAGGAATGGGGTCACAAATTTGATTTTTATAATCCTGAAATCGTCATCCAGAAATAGTTTCAGAAACTACAAAGAATGTGTGATATCATCAGAAGCACTCTACATCATCAAATGGAATCCAAATTGTCTGAAGTGTATAGGAATGATGGACTGAAACAGAATTTTGACTTGGTTATAACTCTCTCTTCCCACGTGAAATCCCAAAATCAATACGAATGTGATTGATAAGCAATTTCACTGTGTAAACACACACTGCTTTTGTATAATTTTATACACTTATCATATCGAACAATCTACACAAGGTTTTGTCATCTTTACCAATTGGCCAACTTGATAGCAATGTGAAAATTACTGCATACTGATGAAGTATGATTAAGTTGTTATGTGTATATATAAGCTGAGTGGATTTTGTAAATTCTTCTGGTTTAATATTAGCACTTTGATGATAAAGCTATTGGCGGCGGCAGCAGCATTAAATTAGAGGAACATCGTCAGTCAGTAAAAACAACGTTAACAATATCCGTTTTGTTTTTCATTGATTCATTGGGAAATACAAAAAAAAATAAACCCTATTATGATGAATATCAAACACCACCACCGAATGGTCACATTTTTCAAACTGTTAAAAGTGAACCTGGTTTGGACAGATATATATATATATATATAGTAAATACACCATATCATGAGAAATTAAATGCAAAAAGTTGACTTATGTAGGCTTGAACGTTAACAATATCACAAACAAAACTCCGAATACATTAATTGATAAAGAAGAACCGAAATACAACACACACACTACTGAAGAAAAACGTGAGATACAGAAATATTCAAATGTGGTGAAAATCAATTCCCTTTCCAGATAGACCATACTTTCCATCGGATCCCAGTAAAAAAAAAAAAGGTGTAACATAATCTCCATTGGAATACTCAGAAGACCAGTCAAATAGAGACTTACAAAACCACAGCAGACAAGTTGAGCATACATCACCATCGATTGGAGATTTCAGTTGTCTTTCAAACAACCTTCACAAAGTTAACATTTGCCTAAAAACATCTTTCTCACCAGAGTTCCAATGGAAAAACAAAATGTAAGCTCATACTTTCTAACTGATTTCTCAGTCAGAAATTGGATTCTGAGTGAGACTTCATCAGGACGAGTATTCTAGTCAACTCATATAACTAGTTGTTTAAGCACTTACTTCTACTCTGCATACAACGGTAACGTTTAGGAAAATCTGTTAATTATTTTTATCGCTGTACTCATTATTAGTGAACTAGTTTAGTCAAATTCACTAGGCATTCGGTTTACCAACACACATTCGAGAATGAATCTCTTATTTCCATCTTCCTATCTCTCTCTATTTTCTCTAGCTTTGTGTCCTAACATGAGGTTTGGTGACTTGAAGTTCAGTCAGAAATGCGTAGGGAACTAGAACACCGGGACTATTAAAACCATCTCTATGTGTATATCTCTTCCGAATAAGTCTATTTTGTGATTTAGGTAGATCTATATTTTTAAGTCTACTTTTTCGACAGAATACTTTGATGAAGGGAACATCACATAACTATGATTTCAACCAACATTTCCTAGCTTGAGAATACACCCATGTTCTAGCCTCTGACTAATTCACAGAACATATGTCTGTTGTACTCGACTTCCAGAAGCTTGAATCGAGTTTAGTATTAACAAGCAGACCACAGTACTACTAAGTTTTAATTAGCTACATCAAAATTTTGGTTGTCAGATTTCATCATGAGCTGATATCAGTTAGAGAGTCATTGGAACTGATGTCAGTGCTCATGATGAAATTCCTCCCCTCAACCAATCAAACAAAATCTCTACAAAACCAATACTTGAAAACATCAAAATTTACCAGGTTTCCTAGGAATGTGTGTTTGTGTGTAAAAGTTATTCTTTATGTAAGTGTTAAAAATCCACACTGACTACCTGATATCTCATTACGAAGTTTTGATCACAGGCCATAACACCAACAGGACAATATCCACAGATGCAGCGATTTTTCTAGTTAAATATATGAAGTACATTATAGTGTAAATTTAGTAACCTACTTTCATCATTTTTCTTCTAAACTTCGCACGACGCTTTTCTATTCGATAAGGATTGTGTCCACCGCCAGAACTACTGCTGGAACTGCTACTACTACTGCTGCTGCTACTACCCCTCTTGTAGCCTTTTTTCTTACCCATTGTGATTACTTCTTATTGATATATCTATACAGAAATCTTCCTTCATACAAAAAAACAACAAAAACAAAAATATTCATAATGAAAACAACAACAGAGAGTAAGATAGTATGACTGAAGAATCTACTATCTCATGCTAATATAACTGCGGAGACTTAAGTCAGTGCAAAAACTGGCGTGGAATTATGCTCCTGTCCATTCCAAGCAAAATACTAAGCCGCATCATCCTGCAGAGAACTAAACACACCAACCTGGATGCAAAACTTCGACCGAAACAAGCTGGATTCAGGAGAAACAAATCATGTATTGATCAAATCGCCACTCTACGGATCATCATTGAACAAAGCTTGGAATGCCAGTCACCTCTCTATCTCCCTCAACTTCACCGACTTTGAAAAGGCCTTCGATGGTGCAGCGTCGATCGAGAGGTCATTTGGCAACGACTTCGCTACTACGGGGTCCCAACGACAATTATATATCTCATCCAACAATTATACGACAATGCTGTATGCCAAGTAATCCACAACAGGAAACTTACGGAAGCCTTTGAAGTGAGGACGGGAGTGAGGCAAGGCTGTCTACTATCACCAATGATCTTCCTGATTGCAGTAGACTGGATAATGCGACAGATAACGGCAACCAACGAGGGAACGGGCATAAAATGTACTCACACAAAAGACTTGGAGGATCTGGACTTCGCCCGCGATGATATATGTCTGATTTCCCACAAACTGGGAGATATGCAGGTGAAAAGCAACAAGTCGGCAGAAGAAACATCAAAGATAGGACTTCAAGTGAACATAGATAAAACAGAGGTGATGAAGATTCCTAGCCAACATCAACAGCAACAACAACAGACGACAATCAGCCTGCATAAATGGGAGGAACCTGAAAGAAACAACCTCCTGCACCTCCTCACCTAACTGGGAAGCATCGTTTCAACCATAGGACAACGGAAGAGACGAGGATATCAGAGCCAGAATCGGAAAAGCAAGACAGGCTTTCATTACTATCAAGTCTGTGTGGAGATCAACAGCACTAATCAGCACCAAAAATAAGATCCGGATTTTCAACTCCAATTTAAAGTCAGTGCTACTATACGGATCAGAGACTTGGCGAGTCATAAAGAGCATCTCAAACAGACTATAGACCTTCATCAACAGTTGTCTTCGCTCAATACTCAAGATCAGATGGCCGGCCGACCAGAAAAGATCAGCAACAGTGATCTCTCGAAATGACCGAACCACCACAGCAGGAACCGATTGTGCAACAAATAGGCAGGAAGAAATGGAGATGGATTGGCTGGCCATACTCTGAGGAAACCATCATGTGTGTGACATCACTAGACAAGCCCTCGAGTGGAACCCGAAAGGAAAGCGGGCAGCGAGTTGGTCGTCAGCGTGAGGGTGACTTAGAGGAGATGAAAGCATGTGGGCAGACTTGGAGCGGGGTGAAAAAGTCGGCAGAAAACAGAAGGCAATGGAGACGCGCAGCTGAAGCCCTATGTTCCTCTAGGAATTAAAGGATATAATGATAATAAATATAGCTGCCTTTGATCATAGGTGCCTGGATTTTATCTCCAGTGTCAGGTGGAGGTATAATGGGGATATAAATAGACGAGGCTGTGAAGCAGTCGCATTGATTGACAGAGATGGTTAGGACACGTGTTATGCATGCAAGACTAGTCATCGATCGCCTTCCTCGACAATGAGCAATGTTAGAAGACTGACATAGAATGGATCAGGTTACAAAAGAGCCAAGAGTCAAACCAAAAAACCAATATGGCTTCATCAGTCAATGAAATCCACAACAGCTAGTTTAAGCCAGCCAGCCACACCGGGAGATGTAGACTTTCTGACTGTCTGGTTGGTGTCCTTGTGACGGTAAAAAAACAATGAAGGCTGGAAACAATCGGTGATACGGCTGGCTGGCGCAGATGCATCCGCTCATTGTGACTTATGATATCCAATAAAACTATATTGTTCTTCCATATTACCATTCTTTTTGCACCATATTTCTGTTTATTATCTCTCTCTCTCTGTTTTGCATTTCTTTTTACTTTCTTTTCTTGCTTTGTGTACTATGTGAAGTGTGACGACTTGAACTGCTGCACATAGGTGAAAAGTTCTACTTTGAAACCAGTCAGTCAGTCGCATTGTATTAGCGTTGGAATAGATTTTTGTCATTTCTTAACACTCCTTCATGGATAAACTACAACTTTATCTTACGTTTTATTCATACGAGCTAACTCCTTACTTCTGTGTCTGTAGTTCGGTCTTTTCAACAGCCAAATAAATAGACAAGCACCAGTATTCAGCAGAAAAAGATTATCGACGGGGGGTTGGTGATAAACTAAAAATAGAAACTGAAGACGACCACCGACAAGTGACAAAATCAAAGCTACACGAAACTTATGCCACAATACAAGAACAACACCACCTATAGTGAATCTGGTCTCCCCGATAGGTCAATTATTTTTCATAAAGTGGAGGAACGCGACGAATTAGACTCTAAGGCCACGTTCGAAAACACAACTACTGTCTTATCAATCCTATCACAGACAAGCTACCATCTGTTATCTGCAGTCAGCTAAAACCTTGAGTTTGTAGGCCATTTGTTAGTTGACACGTTATTCTCAAAGTGACGGTTGACTCGAAAACTGAGAAAAGCGCTTTCCTGAGTAATACTCACATTCTTAAGAAATCTCCGCAGAGCCTTGCTTAGCAGATCGTATCAAAAAAACAGTATTGAAAAGGAATTAAGTGAATGGTGCACAGAGAGCAAGAAAAACTATTAAATGATTACAGGTGATGAAAATTCGAAGCCTGGTGACCTTTACGCCTCTGCAGATAGAGCGCGGTAGTGCTAAGCTGCACTAACAATATGACATCCGTTGGACAAATGTAGTCAGGTGGGTAGTCTGGCTAGGTTGGGAAACTTGAATGCTACAGCTATTTTAAAGTCATGGGTGGTATATTTTAAAGTCAGCTGCAGAGAAATAAACCTGTAAAACTCCACTGTGAACAGGACAGACATTGAACTACAGAGGTGGTGGAGTAGTCATGTACCTATGAAAAAACCTAGCTTTGCATAACATAGGAGCACTGGCACTTACAAGCTGCTGACTATAATGTAAGAGGGAAAATATCAATTTGAATGCATTCCCAACTTTACGAGAGGACTTTCTCATGAGAAAATTACGATCATAGACATCAAGTATCAGTCTTATAGTGATTGATTTCAAGGATCTATCAGTCGGCCATTGGAATTCAACAACACTATCAATATAGAAAATATCCCCCATTTAGACATTTAGAAAAGAGAAAGATTGAGCGAAGAAATATTTACTTTTCAATTAGATCCTCATCTCTGGCTCTACTCTAATATATATAGCATTTTAATTACAATACACAACAATTTACCAATCAAGTGGCGATATGTTTGTTAACAATAATTAGTCGGTGTCAAAATGTCAATGGGGTGATAATTAACGAAGAAAAATAATATATATATAATTAAAAGGTGGAAATGGTTACAACACGTGGATTATTAGAGAATTACTTAGAAAAAATGGTTATCCAGATAAGTTTATTGAGAAAAATATGAATTCATCACCTAGGGCAGTGACTATGGCAACAGTTCCGAAAAAACCACTGTTCATAAAACTTCAGTTCCTCGGCGACAACATCAGCGAAATAATAACAAAGCGACTGAAGAATGCAATTAAAAGAGCTTATTATGCAGCAGAGGTACACTGTCTCTTCACAACCACACCTATCCTACATTTGAGTAATAAGGATTAACTACCTAAATTCGCCTCTTCTATGTGTATCTACCAGTTTGACTGCAGCTGCGGAGCCAGCTACATCGGGCGAACAATTAGGCAGGTTCATCATCGTATTTCCGAACATCATCCGGCATGGTTAAGCAAGGGACAAACAAAATCTATTCGTAGCTCTATTTTAGCCCACCTTGTAGATAGTGAGCATAAGGTTGACGTTAATACTGCATTTAAAATTATTTATCGCATTCCTACTAATCTTAACTTTGCTTTACGAGTTCGTCTTCTACATACAGCTGAAGCAATATGAATCCACCTGAAGAAGCCAAACTTGTGTGTTCAGAAGAAATTTGTACAGCCACTTTCCTTACCTTGGCCATCGTTACATGACTGTATAAACCGGACTACTCCATCACCCTCCCCCTAGAATAATTTTTCTTTTTAAAAACTATAATTGTCCAAATTATTTTATTTTTCTGACTACTTCATCTTTAATTACGTGTTATCCTTGTAAAAATTATTTTATTCTTATGACCACTTCAACTTTAGTTACAAATTATCATTGTCCAAATTGTTTTATTTTCTTTAACAATCTGTTACGTAATCAACCTGTGCACACGCTTATTCCTTAGTTGCTCTTCATTTTTCCAAAATTATGCATTATGCAATCCACGTGTTGTAACCATTTCCACCTTTTAATTATATATATTTATTTTTCTTCGTTAATTATCACCCCATTGACATTTTGACACCGACTAATTATTGTTAACAAACATATCGCCACTTGATTGGTAAATTGTTGTGTATTGTAATTAAAATGCTATATATATTAGAGTAGAGCCAGAGATGAGGATCTAATTGAAAAGTAAATATTTCTTCGCTCAATCTTTCTCTTTTCTAAACTTCACTATCAAACAATTTCTTCAACCATAAGTTGTTAGAATCTTCCATTTCCACGGTTCTCACTTAGCACATTAGCAAATCAATATTATCATTCTCAACACTCTTCTTCAACGGCAGACCTGACATTCTGTTAGTATGAGGATGTGGACTTAATACAACATCTGTCTCCAAAGATAAAGTGATCACCATGGCCAGCTCTAAGTTTACTGATGTCAAAACCTCAACCCTACAAAACGTGTGGAGTGTTTATAAATGTTATCATTCATGTAGCTTTGTTAATAGACTAGGTTATAAGTCTAGAAGCTCAAATAGAAGCTGC